CCTACGCACAGATTTTGCAATACATTTGTGGTATCATTTGAGGATTACTGCTTATAATCCTAATTCATTCGGATACATTAGACGTCTGTAGATTGTACTCTATTTTACTTGACAACACGTAGTTTTTGAAACGTTCAGTTTAACAATCGATAAAATAGTTGGGAAATCATTTTATGTCGAGGAAAACTGAAAACCAAAGATTTTTATTTTTATATCATTTTGATCGAATTTTTTATGTGTTGAGTGTACACTTATACAGAAACTGAACTGGTTTTTTTCGGCAGATTGTGTCAAAACATACTTGATAGTACAGATTTTGGCTTGGTTGAATTATAAAAGTGGGAAATTTTTGATCCCATTGATCATGTATTAAGCACCTGTTTTGTACGCGAAGAGATCAAACAGTTTTATTCACTCGAGTTCCTGCAATTAGATTGTCCGTATTAGTGTTGTGAACAATGTTTCAGATTCAAAAGCTTAGTTTAAACTATCATTGATTCCTCAGTGGTTAGCATCAACTCACTTTGAGACTCTAAAAACGGTACCACTTGGCGAGAACCTTGTCAATTTAAGGTAATTTTCATTTTTTGAGGGATAAACCCTGCATAAGAAATTCTTTCCTCTCTATTTGGCGTGGTTTTGCTATCACGATGACGATCAGTTTAGTTCAGTTTTCTTCACTGAAGCAAATCTCTCAGTTATATATTTGTGATCGTAGTTCGTTCTTCGTTCTAAGCAAAGTTGTATTTCTGAATAAAAAATTGTTGAAATATTCTCTAGTCAATATGGTTTGATCTGCCTATTTATAAGTTACAAATGAAAGTGTTTTCTTGAAAAGATGTCACCATTGTTCCAATCGTCAGACTGGTAATCAGCAGTGATCAAAATTTAACTTATTGTAAAAACACCAGTGTACCAAACATGCTTGTAAGAATTGGCTTGATACTGGGCAAAATCTCCCAACCCTTGGAGTAAGAAATGGATGGATACTATAGAGGAGAGTTTGTATGTTGATCCCGATCAAATTACATTGTCACATTTTGACGATTTGATGACTTCATGATTTCTTAACATTATTTTATGTGCATGCAAGGCACATCAAAATTGTTGCTCCATTATAATGTGAAATATTATTCTATGTCCAATAATATTGCCTTTCAAAAGATAAATCTTATTTTGCGGCCTCAATGTTTCCGGTCAAACAATGTAAAGTTTCACTGATTATAGCACCAAAACTTGCAAGAAACCTAAAGTCGATTGACTGTTTTATTCATATCGAAGGAGAGATCGGAAATAAAAATCAAACATGCCTTGAAATAATTGTCTGTTTCTGATGAAACTGAAAATTATTATTGCCTTTCTTTGTATGAAAACATTTAAGTTCACTTTTTTCTTGGCGTTGCTCTCTTAGTTAAATCTAAATTGCAGCGGTTGTTTCGAAAGAGAAGGAAAAGTTTGGGTGACAAAATAATATTTTGGCGACGTTTTAAATATGAGAACATCGATAAATAATATAATGAAAAATACGGGACGAATTTTCTGCATAACTTTTGTGTGTCTAAAAGCGGTTATGAAAGTTGTTGATTTATATTTTCTTGCCAAGACTGTGGCCTTGCAGTGTAACGTGCACTCTTTGTCGTTTACGGCTTCTTTTTCATCATCGATTTCTTTACGTTTTTTCCTAGCAACTTCCTACAAGAGGCTCGAGTTCTGCTGAACCAATTTTTTTCTTTTTGATTTTAAAGAAGCAAAATTATGTGAAATTTTAGGAGCCCAGAGATGTCTTTTTCTTTCTGGTAAAAGAATTTTTTTCTTTTGCTAGAAAAAGAAAATGCTTCTCTGGGCTTCTAAAATTTTACAGAATTTTGTTGCTTTAAAAAGAAAAAAGAAAAAAGAACTGGTCTGGTGGGGCCTCGAGCCCCTT